GAGAAGAACAAGGGCCTTGGTAAAACACTCTATTTATATCAATTTCCCATTGCATCAAGCAATATGTCAGGCTTGATTTTTTTTTTGTGCTCCCACCCTGTTTTCTTTTCAGTTTCTGCTAGTCCAACACGGCATTCAGCTGAAATCACAGCAAGGTTACTCATTGCTACTAGTTGAGCATCATTCCTCTGCTTCTATGTACTCCACTTCAGGTTCATTCTTCCCCCAGAGCCTCCTTGTTCCCTGAACGTTTCCTTTCCTCAGGCTGCCCCTTCCCACCCCACGGCAGCCCTTTTCACCCGTGTGCACAGAGCTCTTACTTGTCGATTCTGTCAGGGAGCTCACGTGAGAGCCTGCAATAAAACAAGGAACACGTTTGTTAGTAACTGTCTTTTGGTTAGATGTCCAGAGCCTTCACATCATACAAACCTGTGGAACTCTAGCAACGTGCTCGGTAACCCCACGAGAAATGCTGACCCAGAACTGACATGCTGACGTTGTTCCCAAGCCCAGAAAGTCTAAGCTGTGAAAGTCTGCAGACATCTCTTATAGATGGGAGCAGAATCCAAAGCACAGCCTACACCGGGTTGTTATTCTGCTTAAGACAAGAAAATCCCGAATTAATTGATACATTCCTAAAAAATTCCTCCTGCCAAAACCGAGTAAATGCCTGGGAATGAATAGCTGGCATTTAACTGACAAATAAGTGTTTTAATAAAAGAACCTCAAATGCCTAATTGAGACATGTCTTCAAGTGTCACAAAATCCTTTAAAAACGAATCTTCATTAATTATCTCGGTGCTTTCGGCTAGCAGACTGCCGAGCAGCAGGAGGAAGAGGCATTGGTGACGAAGAAGAAACGGGCCTTGCAGAGAGCTGTGAACAATGCTTACTGGCCCACTGCTGTCAGCGTCCCCCAGCCACTTCACAAGTTTTCGGTGCAGAACACTAATTTTTTGCCAGTTTTTTGTTAGTATGCTGCTGCTTTTGTGTGTCTAGACTGTAGCACGCTTGGAAATGAAGGCGGCTGTGAATACTTCCCATTTGGAGGCTGGCCACGGACAACCATCGCTCCCACAGTGAATTTTATTACGTGGCATTAAATCTCCTCTGCAATCACTCTGAAGCCAAAGGGAGCCGGGCACCTAACTCGTCCCTGTCTTTGAGAATATCCACCTGTGTGAACTGGCAGCAAAACATTGATCTGCTTGTACAAGACAGACTGTCTCTTGCCAGGGGCGAGTGACTGGCACTCTGCCCGTCTGGTGAGGCCTCTCACACTGAATTACTGGAGCTACCATGGAAAAAATTCCCTCAGGCACTATATCCTCAAAAGTCGCTCATTATTTTGAGGTATAAAATCACAGCGTTCGGTCACCTTCCTCTCGGCTGGAGGGCACCATAAAAGCCCCCTTGTTGGGTCTCTTCAGGGCTCACTGCTGCCACAGCATCTGTGGGGAACGTGGTGCGTCTGACCCTGTCCCAAGAGCTCCCTGGGAGGACGTGACACACCAGCACGTCCTCCATGTCCCAGCTGTACCAGGTTGGGAGATTGGAGAGGGAGCAGCATGAAGGCAGCCGCAACCGCAGGCGGGCATTGAGTCTCCCACCCGCGTGCCAGGGGCTGCAGTGCTCCTCCTCCAACTGGGGTCCCCAGGAAGCACAAGTCCCCTCTACACCCTCGCTGCACTTTCTGTGCTGTGGATTGATGCTTTGCGCAAAGACGGCTCCTACCGCCGGAGCCGTAACGTGAGTAAAGCACATCATTCTCCTGGTGTGAGTGTACTCTTTGAAAACCAGAATGGCTGCTCTTGGTTTTCCTCCTCTTTGCATCCAATTAAAAACATGGATCACTTGACCCAGTGGGGTGCAAATAACCACTTTTGCTAATGATATCTGTGACAGAGGTTTAACCACATTTTATTCACAGACATGTATGAAAAGCATGTTCAGGCTGCAAAGTCAAGCACTTAAAAGTCAGCAGTAAGAGCTAAGTACTCTGAAGGTATACTGTTATCTCACCCTGGCTTCCTAGGATCCAGAGGAGACGTTTTTCCTAAGCTTTTTTATGATCTCATCGATCCATCTGCAAAAAGCAGTGTCGCCTTGATCAGAGAGGATCTCTGTGATGATCATTAGGTGATGTTCACAGCATGTTTGGGCAACATTAACAACAAAAGGCGAGGAAAAGCTTTTGGGAGGTTAAAAACTCGCCTGTCAAAGGAGGTTTGGAATGACACACAGTACAGAACGCAGCAAGACACACACCCAGCATTAAAGAAACATCCAAATATATGATATGATTGCTGGTTACCCAAACACTGCCTTTCCTTCAGCCTGTACGGAGTGAGACCCATGGAAAAAAATGCCACCTGATCACACAGTAATGGCTGAACAAGCAAATGGTAAAGCCTTGTGTGTTCATATTTTTGGAGAAAGGCAGAAGATCTTGTCAAGTCTTACAAATAGGTCACTTCTCTATGACACCTCAACTCTTGTCTCCCAAGCCTGAGGAGAGTTGAGCTTTCCCAAGAAAACCTCCCAAGATTATAACAAAATTATAAAATATTTTCCCTTAACTTCACTCTTGCAAAAAAAGTGAATAATCTTGGCTCAAATTAGAGCAAATAAATAAATAGAAAAAGCATGTCAAGCCTGAGACTGATATCCAAGTTCACCCCAAATACTTCAGGTTTGTCAAAGTTGTATGCAGGTGACATTAAGCTCTGTAAACAGGAAGGGTTGGACAACCTACGGGTCAGTATTCACGGGCACAACCAAAACCCACACTGCTGTCTGGGCCAGACCTCGCCATGTCAATATACTCAGACAGCAGAAATGATCTCAGGTAGGAAACGTGACAGCAGCCCCCTGCCCTTCCTTCAAGGACTGTCAGAGCCTCCTGAGCTTTTTATTTTTCTAAAAGCTGCACACATAAAACTACAAGCATCTGGCCCAAAGATATCTCACCTAGATTCTGCTAGAGCATGAAAAATTAAATAGGAAAAATCTTGTGCCTTTCTCTCTCTCCCCCCCATCTCCAGTACACAAGCAAGGCACCAGCTCACTCTCTGTTCAAAGATTGCTCAGCAAAGCTGCTCACAAACAAAGCTGTGCTTATCGGAG